CACCCAGAATGAAAACTTGGTGCATATCGTTAAGGTGTGGGTAGGCCCGATGGTGGATCAAGACGTAATTTTGGGCATGGACTTCATGGACCCAGCCGGTATTCGGTTAGATCTGGCGGATGGAACACTATATCTCACCGATGAAATTCGAGTTCACTTATCAGGAGGGGGGACGCTGTACGAACACCGGGTATCAGATGTGAAGTTAAGTCGATATGCACACATACCGGTTGAATAGTACGTGTAAGTACCTCTAAAAAAGTCGACCTCGGACCAATGGAAAGTGTGGGTCACGAAAGGAGAACGAAGGGTCACGACCATGAACAAAGCGATAGGACATCGGAAATTCCTGAAGGTGACCAATGTCAGCTCCCACTCCCTAATATTGCACGATGACACCAAGATCGGTATGTGGTTGATGAAGGACCAAGTACCAAGAGCGGAGGGCTTCGTCTCGGTGGGATATCGAAGATACGACGAGTGGCTGAATCTGGCGTATGAATCCACCACCGACCAGGTCGACCATCCGATACATCCAACGGAGGATGATGAAGGGCCGTTGGTGGAGACACCACAGTACGACATTCCCATTAAGCATACTACAGCTGCCAAGTGCACCCGCTCCAGTGATGACAATGTCTTCCCGACCTGCCTCGATCCTCGACCAAGGACCTCCGGACCCCGCAAAGTGTCGGCGACGCCTAATGCAAGACGTGCTCATTGTGGGTCTAGGAAACATGGATACTTGGGTTGTTGGGAGCGATTGATCTGTGACAACTTTGAGAAGAAGGGTCACCCATCGGATCGTTGCGGTTTGTGTGCCGAGGCTGTGGAGAAACTCACGAGGTTGGGAAGTGCCAGATGGAATAGTCTTACAATTTGATTTGCCAATGGTATAACCCGACCAAGCACGCCGAGATGATGCCGGAGAAATCTGAGAAGATGATAAATTAGGACGCTCGCCAGGTTTAAATCTGGAACGAGACGAGCGTTCTGATTGCTGTATCTTTGCATATGTGTAAAAGCAGTCCAAGGAAGGAAGGGGTACTCGAGATAACGTGATTGACAAATATATCGAAGTTTGGAAGCTACCCTATGGTCCATGTTGCTTTTCTGAATGCACCTCATGACTCTGCACGAGAGAATGCAGTGATGGTGTTGGACCTATTTCCAGGAGAATCCGGGGGATACTGGAAATACCATGCTCCCAATAAGTTGTTCAGGCAAGATAAGACCTCTGGAAAGGTCAACAATGATCGCGCAACTTGTTGTTTGATACTGGCGACGAGTTATCCATCTTGGACATCGCCTTTACTCGTAAGGTAGGCTGCTAAACTGAAAAACGACAAGAAAAATTTGTTGGTATCTGGGAATCTGTATATACTACGGTAGGACGCACCCGCATCATGGTCACCCAGAATGAAAACTTGGTGCATATCGTTAAGGTGTGGGTAGGCCCGATGGTGGATCAAGACGTAATTTTGGGCATGGACTTCATGGACCCAGCCGGTATTCGGTTAGATCTGGCGGATGGAACACTATATCTCACCGATGAAATTCGAGTTCACTTATCAGGAGGGGGGACGCTGTACGAACACCGGGTATCAGATGTGAAGTTAAGTCGATATGCACACATACCGGTTGAATAGTACGTGTAAGTACCTCTAAAAAAGTCGACCTCGGACCAATGGAAAGTGTGGGTCACGAAAGGAGAACGAAGGGTCACGACCATGAACAAAGCGATAGGACATCGGAAATTCCTGAAGGTGACCAATGTCAGCTCCCACTCCCTAATATTGCACGATGACACCAAGATCGGTATGTGGTTGATGAAGGACCAAGTACCAAGAGCGGAGGGCTTCATCTCGGTGGGATATCGAAGATACGACGAGTGGCTGAATCTGGCGTATGAATCCACCACCGAACAGGTCGACCATCCGATACATCCAACGGAGGATGATGAAGGGCCGTTGGTGGAGACGCCACAGTACGACATCCCCATTAAGCATGCTACAGCTGCCAAGTGCACCCGTTCCAGTGATAATTTCGTTATTCTAGCCAAGGACCGCTCAAAAAAATCCAACGTGGCTGAGTTAGGTGCTCATTGAGGACACACCGCATAAGGATGACCAAGTGTTCATCTGTGAATGTAAAAAAGCTTGGCTGAAGAAGCAATCCATGGGTGGGCGGTCATATTGGAGGTGGATCTTTAATCTAGAAGTGTTGGGTTGGAGGAAATACACAGCATTGATTCAGACGGGAATACTTCCGAGAAAGTGGACCAGCTGCGCCAGATAATACGGTCCGACGGCAGTCAAGATGATTGTAGGCAGCATATTTATACAAAAAAAACACTTCTTACATTCCGTATCGGAATAAGTTCTCTGGAATTTATGCTCGATTATGCCGAATAATCAACAGTAAAGTAATACCTTTGCATATCAATTTTATTCAGAACGATGACCAATTACGTTCAGATTCTGAAATGTCTAAAAGGCTTGATGGTACGCGCTTTGAGGTGCGGCGTTGTGTCAAGTTATGGACTGAAAGACGATACATTTCACACAGAGCTACACTGTCACCAGCTATTATTGTTCTCGAGAAGTTTGGATTCTTATACCGACGAAATAACGCAGAGTGCAGGTGGCTTGGACAAGTGTATGTGACCCACACTATTTTAATACATTTACCATTTTGTAGCTTTTAGTAAATGGAAGTCCACAGGAATCAATGGTTCAACACCCTTGTTTTCCCTACACAACTCGACGTGGGTCTTTTCGCTGTGTACAAAACTTCAGAATACCATCTCCGTCAATTTCAATGGAAACAGTGAATTCACCCCCTTTGCAACGCAGCAGCAGCTCGACTTCTGGGTTAAAAAACCCTAAAAAGGAGCGTACAATTCAGCGCATGGACAAGGCCATTCGCCGTCGTGTGAGAGGAAGCGTTACGTACAAAATGAAGCTATTGATTCGTGGTGCCAAGGGAACGGGTAAGACCTCTCTTTTTCAGCGACTTCAAGGTGACCCTATTCCCGAGACGCACGAGGCCACGCCCCAGCTTCAATCTGCCACTATCAAATGGAATTTCTCGCAGAATTTGGAGGAAAACGTTAAGTGTGAGGTTTGGGACGTGGTCGACCAAGGATTTGTTCCTGTAAAAGTAAGGAAGGGGGATGAAGAAGTTGCTATAAGACAAGAGGATGCTAATGCTATTGGATAAGGAGGTCTACAAAGCCAGGAAAATGTATTGGGTGAAGTAATTGTATCGGCTGAGCATGATATTACTATACAAAATAAGGCCAATGCGATGGCTGTTGTGGATGCCTCGACCGTAAACGTGTATCATGAAGCTCATGGAGTGATCTTTCTGCTGGATATTACCAAGTGGGATACGCTAGAGTATGTAAAGCAACAGCTTGATAACGTGCCAGTAGACGTTCCGACGTTGGTGCTGGGAAACTTTCGAGACCAAGGGACACAGAGAAAGGTATTTAAAGAAGATATCGAGGAAATGCTATACGGGTCGAGTATTCGGCCGCAACAACAACAGTGGAGGCGACCTACCGAGTTGCTATATTTTGAATGCTCGTTATTGAATTGTTTTGGACTGAAATCGTTGCACCAATACTTTGGCATCCCATTTTTAAAACTTAAGTTGGTGACCATCAGGAATCAAATGCATATTGTGGAAGGTGACTTGATTCGCGTGAATCGCGATGTTCAAGCTACAATAACAGAACAGCACTATGCGGAGTATGTGGAGCACATTAAAACGACAAAATCGGATATTCGGACTGGGAGACGTAGCTTTGAGAAGAATAGCACGCCACCAGGTGTATCATCCAACAACTCAGCTATGTTAGCTTCTAACAAAATTGATCAAGAAAAGCCTGCGACGCTCCAGTATAGCACGGAAAATGGAAGCAAGGAAAATAGTGCTAAGATGCCTCCAAAAGCTACAACTTCTGAGACTTCACCACACGAGGTGACAGGATCCCAAGACACGACGAATTTACCTTCAAGAATTAGCAGTGTCGTCGTAGGCACAGTGCCGTCATTAAGGCTTCAACAGAAGGAAAGAGAAATCGCATCAGTTACAGGTCATCCAACTGACACCAATTTCGTGAAAACTGGAGATACACATTCACTTCTCTGCGAAACGAGCATTGAATCAGTGTCTGTAAATAGTGCTAGTCCAAGCCGTTCTAGGAAGGCGTTGATTGATGACGTGATTCGTCTTGAGGACTTCCAGGCGCCACGATCGCGCTTTGGTGACCTTGAACATTTTTATTCGGAGGATGACACTGATCAAGATATCGGTGATAACGATGTGGATGTAGCGGTGGCACCTGCGAATGGATTGATGAAGGCAAGTACTATTCACCCATATCACAAACAGTGTTCCCTTGACTCCGATTCTTCGGACTCGGCTGAAGAGCTGACAAATATGCAGCGAAGACGAAAAGATAAGACGCCTTACAAAAATGGTTCACGTTACAGCGCAACCAAACCGTCGAAAAATGCTACTTCCAATCCGACAAGACCTCATCTGTCTGCGATGCGCCCATCTTCTCAATACTCGCGGTTAACTGATGCCCCATCAATGGATAGAATCGCGCCGTGTCCAGCACGTTTGCAACCTAGCAGCCCAATGAAGGGTTTTCAAAGTGTACCACGCGAGGAGCCTTCGCAGCAGCGGCCGTCGCTTTGTTTTACAAGCGATACAGCTCTAACTTTGGCACATCCTGCTGCCCCCCCTCCCGCTCCTGCGTCGGCTTCGTTGTCTCTTCACATGGGTCCAAGAATTAAGAGCGAAAACAACTCTGCAGCGCCACATTCGGAAATGCTTGTATCGGTATTGCAAGACGAGGGGAAATTGAAAAACAGTTTTTCTCACGTGAGGAAGCTGAGCTTGCAGGAACAATAAATTCGATTAGCTTTGGTAGGCATCGGCAAAGACCCCTTAAAAATGAGAGTTTGAAGAGTGTGAATCATGACATGTACTCTTTCGCTAATGGTATATACGACAAAGCTAGCATCAGTGCCACTACTGCTACTACTACTTCGCATGCTACGGAGAGCAAGAAGATGGCTGGATCTGTTGTGCCAATACAAAAGGCCTTCGACAGCGGCATCAACAGCGATCCGGATGATAATGTTCATGCTCCCGTGCACGACCAAAGAACAATGTTTTTACAAAAGAAGTGCAACAGGGGTCAGCAGATGTCGGTTTTAGCGGGTTGAGTGCAGGTGAGCTGTTTATTGTCCTTGAATGATGGGAAAGTAGAGCATAATCACGATACAGCTGCAACTACGCAAGAAACCAAAGATAAAGATAAGCCACACAATTCAGTCGCTCCGAGGTTGCTTCAACGTAGTTCGCAGATACGCATGGATGATGACGAAATTGACGGCGGTGCAAGCAAATTGGAAGGACGTTACAGTAAGGGAGATCTGTACGAAACGGGTGAGCTTCCTTCATTGTCTGGGCTCCAAACACCACTACCATCGTATGACGAGGCTGCATCACTCTTTTTATCAGTTCGTGAAACGACCGCAGGATCAAAAATGAATTGTCCTTGTGGTGCCAGTGATTCAAATAAAGACGCGGCGCTGGGGTTGCCTGACCTTCAAACAATTCCGTCGGTGGCATTGGCTTTGAATGCTGATGTGGTTGACATGACGACTGTTTTTTTTTATTTTAAGCAATGATTTAGAGGCCTTTTTGAACGAAAGTGATAGTGATCTGGAGAATACATCACCGTCCATTGGTGCCGAACTTGCTAGGGACAACGAACAGAAAACAAAACAACGACGAGTCGACATAACACTGATATTCGAGTCTGGTGATGATCACGAAGAAGCAGATGACCAGGACCGATTTGCGAGTTACAACATTAGCAAGAAAAATCGGGCTAACTGGAAACGTCAGCACGAGAAGGACTTGCGTCAGCTGAATGCCGCGCTCAACGCGATAAAAGATCCTTTCACCTCCTCGGCAGGTGCTGTAGCATCGACAAAGTTGTCTGTCGGGACATCAGATGTGATGGATGCTATTTGCAAGGCACAAGAAGATGCTATGCGCATGCTTCCAATCGATCTAGTTCCCGAAGTTGTCTATACTAATTCCAGCTTGTCCAGCAAGAGCAACACTCACAAACAAAGAAACACAAGAAACGGGTATGAGTTTCGGCCACAAGCAAGAGTCGAATCGAAAAGCAGTTGGGAGTCTGCCTTGTGCTCGCTTTCTGACATGCTAAGCAAATAGCCTCGCTGCAAAGCTTATTTATCTGTCCTTACGCTTTGGATAAATCTGGTCTATTGGTGGTGCAGGACCACGATCATTTTAATATTGTCGCGATACAATAATCGTACTCTCTCTTTCATGTTCCGTTAGAGCTAGGCGAGCACTGCTCCTTTTGTGATTACATAAATTCTTATACGTGCTTTGAGAGTTCAACCAAGAGTGACGAATACCAAGGCGATCATTCATGTATGACGCTTTGATGTCTCAATAATACACATTGTCAATTAAATCATTGCTGCCAGAACACCAGGCCTATCAAAAGACGACTGGAGTTAACTTTAGATTTAACAGAAGGACGAACACTTCAAAACATTGGGTATCTTAAATTGCATAACACAGACTATTTTTTACAGGCTATACTTTCGCTGCAAGGGCACATCTCCTAAGAGTCACCCGCAAATCAGATTTGTCCGTCAGGCTATGAGAACCAGCCATTAGACTTACAAGTATTGACAACAGAGGCACTATTCATTACTCCCATGGTCGACTACAACGTTAAATTTTTCATAACGATAAGATCCTCGGGTCTATCGCCGCTTTAAACGACCGCAATCCAAATGTGGAGTCTTCATATCGCGAGTGCGACGATAACAAGATATACTGGTGTGGTGAAGTGGAGATGGCAAGATTCTTGCGCTCCCAGCTTTACGCACTGACACCCAGACAATCGACTCACGGAGGAGATACTCCGACACTGTGAGCTAAAAACTCCTTTCTCACCTTTTTACCCGATCATCATTCGGGGCGCACTCTTCTAGGTGGACTTTGAGTATGTAGGTCTTGATGTGTTTGAAAAAGTTTTCGACCACGCGGAAATCTTCACGAGGTTTGTAGTACTTAGTGACAGACAATTAATTAGTCGCCGCGATCAACCTTTGGATCGCCCTCGTCCCGATATGTAGATCTTCTGACCACTTGAGCCATCAGTAGATCTTGCCTTGATGATGTAGCTGCGTCCAATCGCACAATTTGTATTTTGAGAATTTGTGACCCCACGGTCAATCTCAGCTAAATGGGTGCGGAGTCTTTAGACGTCGGGGTCAATCATTCTACCTGGAAGAGAAGGCGACGCGTGTATTTGTTTATAAGCTGGACTCTGTATTATATTAACCAATCAACAGTCAAAACCTATCACTATGCCTTCCTATCTGATAAGATATGCTATATCGCTAATCAGGCGTATCCAGAAGATTGTGCCTTCTTAAAGTGGTCCACACCGATGCCACGTATCGCTTGTTCCTTGATCGTCTCTTCGTATAGTGCGATCTACACTCGGTGTATTTATATAGCGATCCACAAAGGATAGCGATCCACAAAGGATAGCGATCCGGATCTGGATCGCGATCGGTGCGTGATCCACGTAATGATAGCGATCCGCATAGAATTAAATTCACATATAATAGCGACCAACACAGGAAATCCCTAAACATAGAATAGCTGTTATTAAGTAACGCAATATATCAAGTGGATATAGGTTTGATTACGTAATGACATGTAAGTCAATAGAGTATCCGATTTGCGAAACCGCACGTTATTTACTGTTGCGCTATTGTTGAATTGCCAGACCCAATAAATAGCCGATAGTAATTCAACCCACTTTGAGCAGTTTTCACGAAAAGAGAACTCTTTTGTACGTAGTACGAATTAAAACAAATTATAGAAGCACAGTTAATTTTACCTTACAAATGAACTGCGCTTCCTCAAAGCTTTTCATTGTATGACGGTGATGAGCTCTCACTCCACTACACCTGGTAGCACTTAGTAGTTACTTCCATAATCAAATACGAGATGATCATTATCAAAAATCTCGATCGCCCCAGCGAAATCTTTGGAGCGATTAGTACTCTCTCATCTCATTACTGTGGAATAACGGACATTTCACCGCCTTGCGGACGTGTCTGGAGAATTCCTCATAACGTCGCTGCTGAGCACAGCGACGCCCTAGCAACACCATGCCTCCATCCAAGACGACAGGGTGCGTGAGATCGCCGAAGCGATACAGCGAGTATAGATTCCCTCGTGCACCTCCCACCATGATGCTATTAAAGTGGAGACGTCCACGTACTCGGGTTATGGACCGGATTATCTCCCCTTAAATCGCTGATTTTGGAATTTTGGGTATCGCGTTAGCGTCAAGGTTGATTGACCTCCGACGGCCAAGGTTAATTTCATGCCATCACGGCTTGTCGACAAAGCCAAAGAATGGGCTCATGGAAAACTCATCGTAGACAAGTCGGCGTTCCCCTCGTGGGACAAAATCCTGCGCGATTTACGCCCGGCTATTAAACCTCTCAATATATATTTTACGCTTGCGTGCAGACTTCTTCGGACTTTTACAGGGAAAGATGTCGATGCGTGCCAACGTGATGTCGTGTATTACCGCACAGCCGATCGACATGGCCTCACAATTCCATGTCTTGTCTTTATTATCAAGGAGGGCATGACGCGTTATTACCTCACACGTGCTGAATAGAAGACTCTCCAGGAGGCATTATATCTTGCGCTTCGTGAAGATGACACGGTCGCGTAGTCATACTTGCTCGTAGTGCCGCAACCTCCGCTCATGTATGGCCCAAAATTCGTGTAAATTAATGCGATTGAGGCATTACGTGGTCACTACAATCAATTTGGGCGCGACGTTCATAGTCAAAACACAATAAAGTGTTTTTGGCGCAGCAAGACAGGTCATCGTAACGTCGTCTACCGAGCACTAGCGCCAATGTCCATAAACACAGCTGACTCACGTGGAGATACTGTGCCGTCGGTGGTCCCGCCATTAACCGAGCGGTTCCTGTAAGCGTGGGCTTCCAAGTGGCAGGAAGGGAGCCCCAGGCATTCAGGAGGCAGCTTGGACTCTCACCGCAAAGTTATACATACTAACTTCATGCCACCACCCCGCGAAAGGATTGAAGCCTGATCACCATCAGTCATATCGTCGCCGGAGCATGCGACCACTCCGAGCGTTGTTAGATTTATGTGTACTCTATACTCAGTGCTTGTCACTATTTACTGGCTCTATAGCTTGTTATAATTATCAAAAACATGCATAGTCACTATCCTTGACTAATTATAGTGACTACGTGGCCTCTGTCACGATGCGACCCTTCGTACTTCAGGTACGGTCACATCACCTACTTTTGTACCCAAGGTACAGCCACACCACATTGGTGTGGCAGGTCTGTTTGTAAAGTACACACCTTCGTGTAACCCCATTCACCATTCCCCACCAATCCGTGGGACCCGACGTACCCACGAATTTTCGCACTTAATTGGAGGCACCGATTTTATCTTCTTCTCATTTTGCTTGCCTCGCAATAAGTGCTTGCACCTGCGTCTAAAGCTTCTGTGTTTTTAACACTTGCTCTTTGAGCACCCGTGCATTGCACATACGCTTTATGAGCATCCTTGTGTTACGACACTCGCTCTTTGAGCATATATTGCATCGCACTCACGCTAAAGCATTAAGTGTTACGATACTTGCTTATAAGCGTTAAGTGTCAAGCACTTGGTAATAATACCCTTTGTGTGTTCTGAACACTTGCATTCACAGCACAAAGTACCTAGCACTTGCCTTTAAGCATTACAATGTTTACAACACTTGCTTTAAGCATCACAGTGATCACGATCACTTGCTTTATAAAGCACTTGTCTCAATAGCACTAGCTCCATCATGGGATGAAGCAATGCGTAACGACATTTTTGGAGACGATGACAGTGACGTTGCCTCTACGGGCGGCGGAGTCGAGTCACTTTCGGGTCAAAGTCACCCAAGATCATCACGCTCACCGAGCGAGGGACGTCGATCCCATTCTGTGTCTTCCCCTCTAAGGGAGACAGCCCCTTTGCGCCAACGCCTCCTCTTCCCTCGCGAGAGGGTACAGACAAAGAGGTAACTTACCCTCTTGACGCTGCACAGCGTCGTCAACTTGACGACAAGGACCGAGCGGCCGCTTTGGCACGACCCAAACAAACATTTTCACGACGTGATTATGGGTTCGTGCCCCGGGACCCCAATGCGGAAGCTCGACGAGCTGCATCGCTATCCTTGCGAACCTATATCATTGGGTCCTATGCCCGTACTGCTTGCGAGGTTGCGGATCGTACAGCTCTTCGTAAGCGACTCCCAGGAGTTTACGATGAAATTCGTATCAGGAGCGACTGTCACGACTGTCACGTGGGGTGCCCGTGCACCCACTAAACGACATACCAGTGGTGCTTGTACCAGGTGAAACATCTGCACAAAATGATCACCGGTTCACCCGTTGGGTAGAAGGAGCATGTAAGCTCGCAATTTTGTCTAACTTGCGCTTAAGCGCTAAAGAACCAGTTGATTGGTTAGAACGCCGTCTACGTTTTAACTTCGCTAAGCTCAAAGCGAAACTTCAACTACCCTCCACATACAGGTCAAAGACTCGTGGGGAGCAAGCTTCTGAAGCTGTTGCCCGTACCTCTCACTCGAGTGATGTACCGACATTGGCTTCTTCTGAAGGTCAGAGGCGAAGCCAGCCTGCTGACCCTACTTTCACAGCACCTAGTGCTAGGAAGCGTCCGATCCACAGCTGTCGTCGCTTCTGACCTTCCTGGTCAACAACGTCAACGGCGTCAGGGCAATCCTGCCGAAGAGATACCTCATACTCCCACGGTTCATACGACGGGGGGTAACCCCTCCACTTCACCAAGTATTTGGTATGACCCTGGTGACGACGCCGAGCCAAGAGACGTTCCACGTAGAACTGTTGATGACCCTGGTCATCAATCAACGTCGGAAGAGGTCGATGACCCATTGACCTCTCATCTCTCTGAGATTGAGCGTCGCCTGATGCTCCTGGAGCGTGATTCCCTTCTACCGGTGAGGTCCCACCTGTCATCGCTTGATGACCGTGTTGATCGACACCGTTGATCCTTTGAGCGTTGTCGCTCTGAGACCTTGGATTACTTAGCGGTTATCGAGCGTTTCTAAG